TGAAGAAAAGCCAGAATTAACTGGAATTGTCGATGATGAGAAGGGAGAGAAAGTCACGGACCAGGAGGAGATCAAGTTTGACGAAGAAGAGGATCGGAAGATTATGGAAGAAGCCAAAAGGAAAAGACTCAAAGCCAAAGGGTACCGTGTACCACCCAAAAGACCAGAATGATCGCTCAGTTCGTACTGATCCATGTGCATCATTTCCAGAATGTCACTCCTTTGATCTCACCAACTGCCAAGGCTTAAGTCACCCATGTGCTTTATCATGTGCTCGAATTAAACACATATTTTGGTGTAAATGTAGGCTACCTTTGAGAATATCGTAAGTAAAGACCTGTTCTGGGCATGTGTTAGCCGCATATAAGCACCTCGTCACAAATGACCCAGATCGAGAGTGATGTTATCCTTTCCAGGGCGGCCTCCGGTCGCATCGGCAACCCTTGAACATCCCCTCCACTGTTGAGCAATACCTAGAATAACCATAATTCGTTTCTAAATATTGCGGAATTGTCGAAATGTCAAGCAAAGTAGGCAGGATCCTATTGCACTCTGCAGCAGCAGCTACCATGCTCTACGGGTATAAGAGTCTAGAAAGGCTCGGTAATTTCGACCAGTGGATTAGAAGCCAATATGGTATCTACCTTCTTTGTATGGTATATTGACTATCCGACATAATTTCTACTTTATAGGGGGGCACAGTCAGTATTTGACCATAGATGGGTATGTTCTTCTGAATTCAACAAGAGAAATAGACTCTAACAGGAGAAACCGATCGTGGCACCTTGTAGACTATTTTGTGCTATCTTCGTTATGCTCCTTGGACTACTTGCAGACCTATTTCCCCCGCAAAAAAGCCATAGTAAGGCTGCAGCCCAAGAGGCCTCAAGCTTCGTTTTCAGATTGACGCAACTCAAGCGTCTAGTTCTCCTCATAGCACTTCCCGTAAACAATAATACCTATTTGGAGTCTGTAAATTGACTAATGGTGTTTATTTAGGTCTCTGTTGTTGTCGCCACGGTATATTGGTTGATGATCCTCTTCATGCCACATCTCATGCTCTCAGATGCGTTGGCTACGGAGCCTACCGCTATGGGAGAAAAGACTTTATTCCGGATACCGCTTGACATCGATCTCGCTCTTCACGGGTTCCCGGGCCCCTTCCTCCTTCTGGATTTCTTCCTTTATGAAGAGAAGTTCTCTAAGACGACCATGGATCAGTACGCGCCGGTTTTAGCGACCCTTGTTTCAGTCTTGTATGCCTCGTGGGTGGAATATTGTGCTAGCTACAATAATATCTGTGAGTAGTTTCTTCTCAATTCCAATAGTCACCAAGCTGAGCTGACCATCAACAGTCCCATACCCATTCCTCACTCTCAGCCCTCTCCCAGGTCGTATTGCAATTTACATAGGGTGCACGGTCTTTGCAGTGGTCATGGTCAGGTTTGTCAACTGGCTGCATCGTTAGCGCTCGAGAATGTGGCTCCGATTCCGATCGACCGACGAGATCCAGTTAGCCGTTGAATAATTCCTCCAAGGATAAATATATTTCCCCGTTTCCGGTTGAATGTAATTTACGCGATTAACGAGGGTTTATCAAAGCTTTCCCAATGACTCGGAACTCTTAGGCTACTGCTTGATCTCCCCCCATATCTTGTCACTCGAATCTCTTTTAAATATGACAACAGAGGAACCTACCAAGCAAAAACTATGGGGTGGACGTTTCACTGGAAAGACTGATCCTTTGATGCATGCGTTCAATCAATCGCTATCTTATGATAAGAGAATGCACGACGCAGATATCAGGGGCTCAATTGCATATGCAAAGTCTTTATGCCTCTGTGGACTCCTCACAAAAGAGGAGGAAGAAAAGATCGTCGAAGGCCTAAAGCGCGTTGGTCAAGAATGGAAGGACGGATCGGTATGTGACTCCCACTTAAACCCCTCATTTACTAAGAGAAAGTACTAGTTTGAAGCGAAACCTGATGATGAAGATATCCATACGGCAAACGAACGACGTCTCAGTGAACTGATAGGCCCTCTTGGTGGCAAACTTCATACCGGTCGTTCTCGCAATGATCAAGTAGCGACTGATATGAGACTATGGCTATTGGATCAAGTAGGCGAACTTGAGCATGCTCTCAAATCGGTGATTGGAGTTATTGTCGAACGCGCAGATCAGGAGAAGCATATCCTTATGCCAGGCTATACACATCTCCAGGTGAGAATTTTGCTCGAGTCGTATAGGAAAAGATCAATATTCAACTTTTATGCGCGGTGAACAGAGAGCCCAGCCAATCCGATGGTCACATTTGATTCTCTTCCACGCCTTCTCTCTGCAGTCTGATTTACAAAGGCTCCAGCAGCTTATCCCACGAATTTCTATTCTCCCGCTTGGATCGGGACCTTTAGCCGGTAATCCGTTCTTAGTAGACCGTGACTTTTTGGCAAAAGAACTGGGTTTCCAGTCTGTGGCGGAGAATAGCATGTGGGGTGTCGCAGACCGTGACTTTATCGCCGAATTCCTAATGTGGGGGAGCCTTTGTATGGTCCATCTCAGCAAACTGGCTGAGGACTTGATCATCTATTCGACTTCGGAGTTCGGATTCATCACACTTAGTGATGCCTACAGGTAAGCTCAATCTGGTGGTTCTGGGATGCTATTTGAACACTCTTGCAGTACTGGCTCTAGTGTGATGCCTCAAAAAAAGAACCCCGACTCTCTCGAGTTGTTACGTGGAAAGACTGGTCGCGTGTTTGGTGACGTGAGTGCTGTGAATAAAACCTAGAACTGTTGCTGATGAGTCTGTAGATGTCAGGTTTCCTCATGACATTGAAAGGTTTGCCTTCAACGTACAATAAAGATCTTCAAGAGGACAAGGAGCCTCTCTTCGACGCGGTAGACACAATTGGAGCATCACTCCGCATTGCTGAAGGCGTTTTCTCAAGCTTGAAAGTTAACGCCGACAAGATGAAGAACGCCTTAACCATGGACATGCTTGCCACGGAGCTGGCAGAGTACCTTGTACGAAAGGGGGTATGCATATCACACTCCTAATCATAGCTATTTGCTCATAGATTGAATCTAGATGCCGTTCAGGGAAACCCACCATGTCTCTGGTCGTGCTGTTGCATTGGCCGAGTCTCTTCAAGTACCCATCTCCGAGCTGACTTTGGAGCAGTACAAAAAGTTGTGCCCGTTATTTGAGGAAGACGTTGTTGGAGTGTTCGATTTTGAAGCAAGCGTTCAGAGAAGGGCCGCGATCGGAGGGCCAGCCTTGCAGATGATTGACCGACAAGTGGCAACACTTAGGGAGGCACTGAGCAAATGAAACCCGTAGATCCATCTACATGTTACTGAACAGATAGTTCATCTCTCGTCGCAGTGACTGCGTAAAGTTGAGGCACCAGTGTAGAATTCTGACCGGCTGTGCTCAATTGACCACCTATCTGGCTGCCCGACGGGCGGGAGTCAATCGCCCCTCCTAAAGCGTACTGTTTCCGAGGGTTTAGAAAAGCTTTAAATATACTTGAACTTGGAGTCAAACCTTTGCACCTCCCTCCATCCTCCAGAAAAGAGCCTCTAGGCTCAGCTCTCAGACCCCCTTGAACGCGGTACGAGTGGACAGTAAGACAAAGAGCTTCCAAACAGAAATGGATCGCCTTGTAAAGTATGTTCTGTCGATGTTTACTCTTGTTGGTGCGCGTCTGATATCTACCAACTCTTTGCAGCCGACCATCTCCCCGCCCTGGACAAAATGATTTCGAAATGTCGACGACACGACCCAGAAACGAAACCAATGGATCTCTTGTAGTTAATGATATGCCATCATTCTGGAGAGCCGTCGATCAAGTCGAGGCTAGTCTACGAACCTTCAAGGAGAATGTCGCAAACATATCATCCATGCAAAGTCGACTTCTTAATAGTGTAGGGAATTCAAACATTGAGCAAAGACTCGATGCTTTGAGTGCTGAGACGAAGACGCTTTCCCATACACTGAGGAACCAAATCAAACAATTGGAGGCTACTGGTAGTCAGACCGAGCAAGGGATCAGAAGGACCAAGAGATTAAGTAGCACCTCCCTTCGTTTGAACCTGCAATTGACCTATTCGAAAGGCAGAGTTGTTAAAGAATCAGTTCCTCCAAGCACTGCAGGAGTACCAAACCGCGGAGCAGAAGCATAGACAAGCACAACGAGATCAAATAGCACATCAGATGCGACTTGGTGAGGGTTATGTGTGAGAGAACGAGTGTGGGTCGACTGATCTATAATACCAGTCAAACCCAATGCTACCGACGATGAAATTAACGCCGCGGTGAACGATACATCCAATGGTCAAGTGTTTCAACAAGCAGTAAGCTATTCTAGAGCTTGACATTGTGGGGTGTACTCATTCGCTATAGTTGATGCATTCGGACCAATACTGACGGGCTCGCAATGCCTACCAAGACGTGCAAGCAAGGCACCAGGTAAGAATATCTGATCCTTATATCGTACATAATCCCTTATTGGCGTTATAGGAACTGGTTCGGATCAACGAGACCATTACCGAGTTGGCACAACTGATGGCAGACATGGCCCTTTACGTGGAACAGCAAGGAAATGTCATTGATACGATAGAAAAGACTACAGAAGTTGTTATGAAAGACACTGAAAAAGCGTACGGACACCCTCTGCTCCCCGTTTAGGAATGTGCCACTAACTCCACAACTGTAGGCTAGACGACAGTGCTGGAGCAAGAAAGTGGGCCAAGCTGGCACGCGAGAAACGAAAGTGGTGCTTCTTGATTGCTGTGATCATCCTGGTAATTATAGCGATCATCGTTGGCGTATACGTGAGTATGGTCTCCTTGTACTCGAGTGATGCTCCACTACGCACATTCACTAACCCTGTGTATTATCTCAACAGGTCGGTGTTATACAAGCAAGGAATAATAGCAAATGATAAAGGACTCGTGTAGACATCGTAATGGACTAAACGTGGGACTCGACATAGCAGTATATTGTAGAGATAATGATCCCCTGGACATTTTTTTCTGTTTTTGTCTGTGCATACTATGGTACTTTAGAATGGCTAATATAGTGCAGACTTCCAGCCTTCCACGCCGCTGGCGGTGCAGACGCCTTCGCTGCTGTACTCACGCTCGCACCTTGGAGCCATTTTCTTCCCCAAATTTCGACGTTTTTTCTTTCTAAACCAGAAATCGGTACTTTATCTATTTTTTTCACCTTTCTTAGAATTTCCTACCGATTTCCGCAAAGGGCAGTGCCCACATACCTGTGCTTTCCACCGACCCATTCCCTTCTTAGTTTCTCTCCACCATAATGGCTACAGACAGATTGGCAGCACTACGCGTAAGTCGGCATAAATCTCACCTGAGGGTCCAAGTTTCGCTGACCAGAGTCGTTTTTACTATAGGCGCAACAAGGAGGGGGTTACTCGAGGTTGGTGTACGCCGAGGTCCGCTCTGCCCGACAGGTCGCTGACCGCTTTGATACTCTTTAGCAACCCCTCGTCCGGACGATATGCAGAAGGGGGATATCAGAGTCGCAGGCCGAATCCATATGCCCAACAAGACGACGGCGGAAACCAGTACGAGATGAGCAACTATTCCAACAACAACTATCGTTCAAATAATTCCTATGGTGGTGGTGGTGCACCAGCTGCGGGAGACATGTCCGCTTTTTGGTCAGAAGTGCGTCGGAATTAAATGTGGAATTGGCCGTTCCACCAGAAACTTACGATTCTCTCCCTCACCAGGTTTCAGCCATCCAAGACCTTCTCAAGCAATACAACGACAATGTCGCCCTCGTTTCAAACTTGCATCAAAGAGCTTTGAACAATATCGAGGACAAGCAGGCATCTCAGCAACTAGACGAGATAGTATCCGACAATCGAAAACTCAGCAACGAGCTGAAGAACCGAATCAAGGCTTTGCAAGCTCAAGGTGGGGACAGTCGTGAAGGTCAAACACGCCGTCAACAAGTAAGAATTTTGCCTTTTTTTTTTCTTGGGCTGGCGCTAACTGGTGTCACAGGCTGCGTTGCTCAAGGACAAGTTCCAATCTGCCCTCCAAAACTACCAACAAGTAGAACAAAGGCACCGCAATGCCTCCAAAAATCAAATGGAAAGACAATTTAGGATTGGTACGCGCCTTCGTACCGCGAGGCGGATTGAATAACTAACCCTGCCGCAGTCAAACCAAATGCCACCGCCGAGGAAGTGAGGGCCGTTGTCAATGATGAACAAGGAGGACAGATCTTCCAGCAAGCAGTAAGCGCCGTTCATCAATGAGTTGGGCACACGCTTACACCGTTTTGCCAGTTGATGAACTCTGATCAATTCGGCCGGGCCAGAGCAGCCTACCGAGAGGTCCAAGAGCGTCACAATGACATTCTCAAGATTACCGAGACGGTCGCTGAGTTGCAACAATTAATGAATGACATGGCTATGATGGTTGAAGAACAAGGAGAGACGATCAATACCATTGAGCAGACCACAGCAATTGCAGAGAAGGACGTTGAGACTGGGTATGTTTATTCAACTATGGCGTTCTTACTTGACCAACCTCGTTCTCTAGTTACAAGCATACCGAAGAAGCCAAGAAGTCCGCCATCTCGGCACGCAAGAAGAGGTTAGTTTACAGACCATCAATACATCACCTCTTACTAACTTGTCTCTAGATGGATTTGCTTCGCCATCGTTGTCGTTATTCTCATCATTATTGCCATCGTTATTGGCATTCAAGTGGCACAAGGTCGCATTGGAGGCGGAGGTAACAATAACAATAACAATGCTCCTGTAACTGTTACCCAAACTGCTCAACCTACATCCTCGGCACGTACTTGAACGATCCTACGGAAACACGAATCACTGCTTTGATTCGAACGTATTTCTTTGTGTCAATAACCTATGGAACTCGGACTACTGGAAACTCTCAAAATTACTCCCCCTCTACCTCTCCATACTGCTCTACTGCGCGGTAGTGCCATCCTTGCCCTTCGTTACATCTTGCCCTTTGAAACACATCATGACCGACAGTTGTTTAATTTAGTCAGGTTATTGATTAGTCTATCCAATGATATATATTTTTTATTTCTTTACCGATCGATCCGCTCGTAAAATAACACGGGGCATTTCGTCAGCCAAATGGGGCTTGATTACGGAGTCGCGTGTTACACACACCTTGCCCACCAACTATCACCCACCCTTTTTCAGACACAAACCCCAAGCTTGTATCTGGTGAGTATATGAGTTCAAAGTCCCTATCAACGGCATTCGGGGATGTATCTAACGAGTTCCATTACCTCTAGTCCACTCCATCGCTTCAGAATGCCTGCCAAGAAGAGGTGCCAACGACCTGAGTGCCGCAACGCTGTTATGCGTATTGCTGGAGAATGTCCCCATTGCCAGTCACACTTCTGCAGCAACGTAAGTGCTCGTTTTGAACATCAGTGGCGCTGAGCTTACGCGGCCCTCTCACCAAATGTGACCCCTCAGCATCGTCTGCCCGAAACTCACGCATGCGGAAAGTTGAAGGAGTGCAGACAGCAAGCATTTGAGCTCAACAGGGCGAAATTGGAGTCCCAGACGACCGTCGCCCCCAAGCTCGTCTCCTAGCGGCGTGCTTCTCACTGCCGCCTCGTTGCTCTATGGCATAACCCAACTGCTTATCCCTGCTAGGGATCATTTTTATTCCATTCTGTCTGCTTGCTATGGACCCTCCCGCAGCTATAGTCCTTTTTGCTACATCAGCTCGTATCTCAGCTCGTCCGAACCGTAATTCACCTAGACATGATCTCATTCTCGGTACCACGCCATTTCTCACTTTCGCAATCTAGTCATTATTAACATCGTTGTCAATATCGCCATGTTCTCGCTTGGAGCCCTGTATAGAAATCCTTTTCTTGAACTGTCTGACCCCAACCCAGTAAGTCCGATCTACTCGGCCGCCGCTACGGCACAATCAGCCCGGCTCCGATATGCAAATCCTCACCCGTGAACGAGCCAGGGCTCAACATCCACCTCAAAATTATACTGTACAACACTACGAATAGCGTCCTTGCATATGTTAGATGCCTGTGCCGCGATAACGAACGTTGCCAAACCCGGCTCGACCGGCCACTCCGATAGGGCTAACAAAGCATCAGACGGGCTAGAGGCTAATTCGGGAACAAAGTCCACACACCTTAGAACCGGTTGATTTGGGGTGATCATATTTTCCTGCCAGTTCCTCTTTGGGCCAGTTTTTTCTCGTGCGAGTTCAAGGTCACGTTTGCGATCCTCGGCGTTTGACCATTTTAGAATCTCAGCCGTGCTTTGGTCGGGAATTTTTTGTCTGACTGGGGTTGGTGGTTTCTTGGACTTTTAACGTGAGTGCAGACAAACATAATTCTCATAACATTAATTAAATGACCATCGAAGATGCTATCATTTCAAAATAATAACCTACTACAACTATTATCAGTAGTGACCTTGGCGTCTCTTCCCCTCACAGTCGTTACTGGGATACTCGGTATCAACTATTTTGACGACAATCGATTGGACGGAGCCAAGTAAGTAGTCGAAATTTTGACGCAAAGTTCTCACATTCGTGTTTAGATTGGCTCTCATCCTTGGCATTATTGGTGGCATTGTCATGGCCGGGCTCATCGTGTTCCTTTGGTTCTTTGTTGTGCAACACC